ACTTTCTGTCTATATTTGGGAGACTTCTCATTAAACAGTCGTTGACTGTCCTAATTGCGTGAAAACGTTTATACAATATATTTGCAATATGTGTAGCACGTATACGACAATGGCTTGAATGAAAAGTTTCCCCTCGTGTGCAGAGCATACTTCTAAGAAAAGGTATTACTTCTACTAAATATAGGTGAACAGTAACAACAAAGTCGTATTGTTATGATATCCAAAAAAAAGGAGAAAAAGAGAGATGAAACTTCACTATACATTACCCTCTACCATTTAAAAGTATGCTCCATATACTATGCTGTGTAGAAGAAACTATACGTTTGAAAATATTATACACAGATACTCACCTGTATTTTCTAACAGCGTTTTTGGCGTGTTCGGTCTGTTGATTATATCGATAAGTTGAGTCAGAATTAATGGAATATATGCACTTGTATCAGTACCTAAAAAAAGAGAAGAAAGAAGAACATACATTTATATGTATATATTACTAGAATTTCGCTTGCGACATGCTTCAATAGATAACATCTTAAAAATAGTTTACCGAGTTTTATAGCTATTTCACCAATAGTCCATGTTGCATTATTACATACAGATATAAACTCAGGATTTAAATTCTGTCCAAGTATGGGCATAAATTCCGCTATAAATAAAATCAATAAATTAACATACTGAACTGTTACAAACGTAAAAAGTTTATAAGTTTATCACTACATACTCCCATAACAAAAATACTCACGTATGCAAGGCAAAACATGTTGAAAGCAGGCCTTTGTAAGATCTCCCAGTAAGGCGAAACTGCTTTGTCTAACTTCAGGCATGCCATCTTGCATACACTGATACAGTAGCTGCATTACATTACTGTTCATTACCAAGCGTTCCATATGACCATCCAACCCTTCTGCCAAGCCGCTAAGAAGGTCTAATGCAACAATCATAAAATCTTTATCAGGAGCCTCAAATTGTTCTGGACTCTGTGTATTTGCTATGTGTTGATTTAGCGTCTGCTCTACGAGGGATACACACCGCCTATTTAAAAAAAAAAAAAAAAAAAAAAGAAAGAAAAAAAAGAAAAAAAATAAAATACACATAAACATTTAAATACAGTATCAAATCTACAAAAATCAAGGTCAATCGAACGTACCTATAGACAGGTTCGCAATAAGGGAGGAAACCAGATCGTAAAGCAGTTGCAACTGAAGAAAGACATTCTAATAATGGAAAAAGGTCTTTGTCCTCGTCTTTTAATACGTTCCACTTGTTAATGAGTGGTGGCATAAGAAGGTTAATGTAATCTGGTTTATTAAGATGATGTCCTACTGAATCAGCAAGTGTACCAATTGCGTCGTACAATATTAAAAGGTTTTTATGTTGATATTTACCTGCATACGTGAGAACGATTAGCACAACAAAACATTTATTCAATTTGACGTTAGTGGAAGGACATATTTACCAAAAGCAAAAACAAGCGTTTCAAGAATAAATCCAAGGTAAGGGACTAATTCCGTGCACGCTTCCTCTTCTAACGTTGCAAAAGCAGAACACGCGGCTTCCTGAACGCGTTTGTTGCCATCAAGTACTCGTTTGAGTAATTCAGTCATTAAAGGCTTCAAATGTGTATCGTGGGGTTGCGCACAAACCCAATGTGCGTAACGACTTAGCGTCCAGCAAGTAATAGCGCGTACTAATGCTTTTTTATCGCTTAAACAACTAATTAGATACGGGATCAATTCTGATAAATGCGGAATCATTCCGCTCATACAACCTGCAACAGAATATCACGCGTTAAAAATTACTATTTAAACCCACATCAAATAGCGTTAAGGAAACCAGATAAAAAGAACCTTCAGCTATAGCTCCCAGTGCTAATATTCCAGATTCTTTGATTACCCAATCTTGGTGGAAAAGCGTTTCTTTCAAAATTGGTACTAAAACTGGTAATAATTCTTCTCTAAATACATTTGCTAACATATCTAAAGCAGCGGCGGAGCATTTCCTTAAATTCCAATCACTAAGCGTTGAATCATCATCACATCCATCTTCAGCATCTGCATCTTCTTCATCACAACCTCCATTTTCATTTGAATGTTTGTTCATATTACCGTGATGTGAATGATGTGTTTTTGATTTGGGAAATCTTGGTCTAATATCTTCCTCTCTATCCGGGATCATTTCATCTTCTTCTACATCTCCTTTTAGAAGTATTATATCAATGTCCGAGTATTTCATACCTCTTACCTATGGAAACACGTTACAAAAATTTAATAATTTACTATTAAATTTAAAATTTATCTTATTTTATGATTACCTACCAATATAGGTACTAAACGGGGTAAATGTGGTGCAAGTGCTTCTTTACAAATTGGCTGCTCAGCTAATGAAAGCCAAAATTCACAAGCCTCTAAAGCAACTCCTTCATCAAGATCCTGGGTCCTCATTAACATGTATTCTATTATGTTATGCATGTGTGGTATTAATCTATCCATTCGAACTTCAAGCAACATAACCAGAGCTCTACAAAATCATGAATGTTATATTATGCAAGAAAACGGGAAAATACAATCGTACCTGCATACGTTCTTCCTGACTTCTGGATCATCATCATTAGCTAAGTGGAAGAGATTCTCCAGGAAGCTATCTATGTGAATCATCAAAGCTTGTGTACGATTAACGATAAACTGATTAACACAGGCAGTAGCATGTGACCTAATTTTAGGGCTTGAATGTCTAAAAAATTGCAGGAACTTTGGGATTAAAACGTTCAATGGTCGATTAAGTGCATCGGAGTCTAAAACTTCTGCAGAATCTTCACAGATTTTTTGAAGAGCACCAAATGCACCTTCACAAACATTGTAATCTTGCGAGTCTAACATTTGGCAAAGTGCAGGTAGTAGCTCTGGCCATCTAGTCAATTCACCTATTACAGAAATATGGTTTAATAATTTTTTTAAGTTATTTGACATTTATGAGTGTTAATCAGTATCAGTACCTTTGGATGCAATAGTAGTTATTAAAATACCAACAGTTGCACGAATTAGAGGTGATGGATCTCCAATTGCCGATAAACATTCTTGCTTGATAAAATTTGTAACCTCTGGTAAAAACTTATAAAAATGAGCTTTAACGTTATTCTTCAAAATCAGTCCACTTAGAGACCTCGTAGGTTCATCTTGAAAAGAAGAAACATACAATTAAACAATTTCAAGGTTCATCTTGAAAAGAAGAAACATACAATTGGGAAGTTTTTAATAAAAATTATTAAATGTTACATGACAAATATATTTAAAATACATACCTTCTGATGTAAGTTTTGTTAAAACAAAAATAAGATAATTGTTGAAGTCTGGGAATTTGTTCAATTCTTCCAATTTCTAAAAAATATTGATAAGGAAAAACTATAGGAATAAAAACATATTGAAATAAAACAATCTGCCAATTTATATGACAAAAATGAATATTTTACATGATTATTAACCTGTGGTTGTAACAATGGCTATTACATAATAAATGCAAAAAAAAAATCCGCTTGCATTTATTTACATTAGTCCACAAGAAAACAAATTATTATACAAAATATACTATTTCTCAGTATTTTGTTACAAACGTAATAAAATTTTTTCAATTATAAAATTCTTATTTAAAATTCTCACACATATACGTACACATCCGTACGCATACGCATATATATATACATGCGTGCGTGCATATACATACACACAATATAAATATAATAAGAAAAATGCGTAAGAAGAAAAAAGTCCAAATCTTTGTTATTGTAATATTTCTTGCCAGCTGTAATTTCCAACAAATACATCTATTTCACTGCCGTTCGTTCGTGTATGTCATTTTCAGGCTGTTTAATTAATATTATGGCCGAAACTATATACAAGATTTATCGATTACGGCGTCAAGAAAACAAACTCGTCACCGACAGTAACGGCATTTCCGACGCGCCCCGCGACAGAAAACACGTATCGTTAACATATTTCTTGGCGCTTGAGTATAACTCACGTGTTATTCGAGAAAGACCTATCAACTTATGTCGACCTACTCTTACTGATTCTAACGTTAATCGTAGCACAATTCCCGGGAAAGTAACACAACCGAGCACAATGCAGCTCTACCGATTGCAGAGAGTTACATTAGTTACGATAAGGTGTCTCAACAGCTTTTCAATTGAATCGTAAACGACAAAAAAGGGGATCCGTGACAGGCTGCGCAAAAGCCCGCCGTACATTTTCCCATTTTACACCAAGTAGAATATTTCGATAGCCTCTATGTCTGTTGAGGCTCCTTCTTGCGTTTCCTTTGTTACGAGATTTCATGAGGCTACGTAAAATGTACAGGAAATTTCCCCGAAACGAAAAGCACGCCCCTTGATTGACCTACCCGCTTCACTTTGTTACCGCGTCGCGGGTGTATGTACTCACCGGGAACAAAAATCTTTGAAACGAATTTTTTTTTTCCCCCCAAAGCACTGAACGATTTACGGTCGAATACGAAAGGATACTTCTTGCACGGCTCGTTGTGTAGCCGTATCCGGGCTCTGAGACTCCTTGAGGAGCGTCAAGATTTGTCGAAGTCCTTCCTCTTGCGGTTGCCACGCCATTTTCATCGTGTTTTTCAACAGCACCACTGAACGCAGCCAGCCTTCTCTGACCTCGCAGATAAACGGAAGCTCCCCACGGGACTTACCCCCACCATCGCGCCACGAAAGCATTAAGATACCGGCGTGTCACACCAGGATTCTCCAGTTAATTTTCGCTAGGCCGTACTGTCAGATCAGCGATTAATTGTTCGAGGCAATTAGATGGATATTTAACATCGTTTCGCAACGATATTCCATTTTCGCGTAATCCATCCAGATAGACAATTGAACGTTTTCGGTGCTTAGCAGACGAGCACTTCCGGCGACAGCAGTGACATCGATCGGTCTCCTGTCTCGATTCCCCTTCAATTCTGTTACTTTTTTTCAAATTTATTTCATCAAATTTACATCACACGCTCGTTAACAGCTTGACAGATCTAAATTGTCGATGATACGAAACGTGTGTTTTTGAAATCAATTTTAAAATGAGTGACTGGAAAAGTTTTTTTCCCGGGGCTTTTACTGTGATGCTTACACTCCTGTTTCGCGGCTAAATTTCAAATGTAGAAAGGCACGCTATTCATGGTAGCGTGTATTTTAACGATCTGTTGTGTCCGTTCAATCAATTATAGCAACACAATGATACGTGTTACATTTCAAAGTAAAGTAAATATATAGAAGAAAAAACAAAAATTATAGTAAAGCATTTATTAAATTTTTTCGTGTATACATTTGCTTAGTTTCATTCATTTATTAAAATTTATGGGATACAGAGCATAAAAAAGCGAAATGCTTATAGAAATCATTAATTTATTGATATTGTTATGCATACTGGATCTGCGATTTCGGTCTCCAGATTTCAATTCCCTCTGTACCAGAAACAGCGAGAACGTCATTCAAATAATCCGTCTGTATAAGATAAGAGAAATTAAATTTATATAAATAAGTTAATTAAAAAATCCTGATTTTAGGTTACTTACACTAGCTATTTCACCATAGCTAGACTTTAAAGTAGTAACATGTTGTGGAGGATCAGTTGGGCTGGAAATTCGAACTGTCTGGTCCATGGAACTCGTGATTAGACAGCCAGGTCCAACATGAACACCATTGATACCTTTTTTATGTTCAGTAGTGTAACATTTGACTGGTTTAAAATCTTTTTTTGGATCAAGTATATGCAATTTTGCATTACCATCCCCTACATAAACTATGTCCCGCTGCATACACATACTCATAGGAAATGATTCCTGGGAAATCTAGAATATGTTCGTCTATAATTGTCAAAATTTTACTACGTATGCTTGCACAACATTGTCGTTTTATTTTTTACGTTTTTACCGTGACATTTTTCATCGTTCTGTTTGCCCTTTGATCCCATATAGATACTGTTCTATCCTCACTAGCGGATAAAATAAAATTAGAACTCATGGCCAGTCTAATGACAGCTCTTTTATGTGGTCGATACTTTATAATCGGTTGATAATTCAATCTTGGATCAAACACTAAGATAGTTTTACAAAATGACCCTGTAGCAAAAAGAGCTAATTCTGGACATGATGCAACACACAATAAAGCACCTGAGACGATCCTAAAAAAAATTGTTCAATGCTTTTATAGGATATCGTATCTTATTTAGATTCGTATAGTATTTTGTGCGCAGTCTCTATTTTGGCAGAGCGAGTGAAAGCAATATTTTTTTGCTCGATAGTTTTCTTTTCAGGAAACTTTAAAAAAATTGAAATTTAATACTAATTTTATCAAATTTACTGTCTAACTATCTCTTATGAACAAAAATTCGTGCCTTTCTCACTCGGTTTTCCCATAATGAGAGCAACGAAAATGATCAGCTTGGTTTTCGCATACATTTCATAAGTTCTGAAGTGAACGAGACCGGTGTTAGTGAGAGTCCATGCTTTGACACTTTGATCCCAGCTGCAACTATAGACTGTATTATCTATTGCTGCCAAATCCCAAATCCAGCCATCATGAGCAAAGTCTATACATGTATAGTTTTCATTGCAATTTTGCTCTGTAGAAAGTTTCCAACACACTAGAGATCGATCTCTAGCTCCTGATATACAAATATTTCCATCCTGTATACACATGTTAATGTATTGTAACGTTATAAAAATACAATATCAAATGATCATTACTTGAATGAAATATACAAACATGCATCAACAATAAGCTGTCGATGGTACTGTATTGTACATTGCAAAGTGATAATGTCTTCATAGAACTTTCCTCTTTCCATAATGATGTTTGCTTTTCCAATGCAACGCATGATAACTTCCAAAATAGTTCATCATCTTCAGCTTGAAAACAAAATAATATACTATTATAAATAAGAAAGATCAAAGTAATTGTTAGCAAATATTATTAATATGTAAGAGAATACATTTTAAATAGAAAGTTAAGTATAATGTTACGCATTGATGTAGTTACTTGCAAACTACTTTATTTATTATAAAATGTGATGTGTAATAGTTTGATTTTGAGTTAATTCTTTGTTTTATTATGAAAAACAAGGTAAAACTATGTATAATTATTGGATACAGTAATAGATGGTTTTTTATTTATTTACAGAATGATTGGTCGTGCAAGGTGCTATCAATTTGAGCTAACCAGGAGGCAAGATTGGGTAACCAGTATCAGGCCAAATTTGACTAATTCTCGCTTTCCACAATGAGTTGTCATTTAAGATTTGATAAAATTGTTTGCACACTAAACTCAAGCTATGTACTAATGTAGATGCATCTAGGAAGGAACAGATGTAGAGAAATATCTGAAATATAACGATGAAAATATTAATAATTACTAAAGAGATAATTTACAAAACTATTTTAGGTACTTCAATTTAATTCTTTGTTCGTATGTAACATTAGACTTGAGTTTTTAAATATATCGTGCAAAGTAGGCATTTGAAAATGGCGTCCATGATCTGTTAATGATCTACTTTTTTTTATGATTATACGTTACGAATCGCTGCTAACCAAGTTTATTTCGACTTTCACTTTTATTTTAAAAATATCTTTCTTCTAATATTATCTATGACACCATAAAACGAACATATTCAGATGCTATATATTAACAACAGTAATTGTGTTGTTTGTAAACAATTGATATAGTATACAACTTCTCTGTATTCTAATGATAAGAAAAATTATGTTCATCTAACGTTATTACTAGATATTACTAGAAAAATTTAAAATGTCTAAAAATTACTTGAAAAAATGTTAATTTATAATGTACATACTTGTAGAATGTATATTTTTTCTCTTGAATCGTAAAAGTACAGGTATAATATTTATTTATACGAACCTCGATTGGAAGATCTGTCAAAGACAAATGGGAGTTCGTTTGATCGGTTTCAATTTGAGTGGCACTTTGTTTTTCATCGCACATTTTCGACTAGAAAAGCCAGCGTTGAACGTTATGTATTTAAACAATATCATTCGATCGACTATTAAACGATTTCGATGATTCAGCTTGTAATAAGAAGGAATAAATGTGATGGTCGTTTTTTTACTGATGTTAAATTTATTGAAAAAAAAGTACGTAGGTTTACTAACGTTATTTACCGTTTTGGTCCTCGTGCACGACGCAGCCTTGCTTGAACGCGCATGACTCACTTACCCTTACCACCCCCGCTTTGGTACATTTCACAATCTCCTCCCAAGATCAGGGCTGACAACGTAACTTCAGCACTTTTACATTTTTTTTCATTTTATTAGACTTACAAATTGTTACAAATCGCTATAAATATATATATATATATATGAATGTTACATAGTGTGTACATATTGTTCGTCCATGTTTCATAAAAAAACTTTCCCTTCAATATATTATTTATTAAAAATCAATTAACAATCAGCATATTTTAAAATACAAATATAAGCATTCATTTATAATATAAGAAAAAAAAAACAAAACAAAAGAGGAAGATATTTTCGAAAATTTCGGAACATATTTATTTGAAACAATATTAATATTATATTATAAACAATTCCCATAGGCAATATGATTTTCTCTTTTGCAAATGTAATTCGAAGCCAGTCGAATGTATGTCCATATATGTACTTACATGTAATAAATATATCTCAAGCACATGGTATTGAAAAGCAGTACTTAAGATGAAACAGTTTAGATATTTACATATTTTTTATATCTAGTTTCTTTAATATTCATTCATCATTTGTACAATTGCTTTGTATTATTCATTTGTCTATATTTGTTTATACATAAATGCAGACACATGTACAATTATAAAAATATCTTTATAGATATAAATTTATTTGCCTTATTATTTGCCTTGTTTAAAGCTGTACTGATAAAAAGAATTACATTTTTATATCTAAATCAATTAAGTACATGTCTCAATAAAAGTACTATAATTATCACTCTGTACATACAACATATAAAACAGATACACGTTATCACATTTACAATGTCAATTTTCACAATTTAAGCACAATCATTCTGCATTTCAAAGTAATTTGTAAAGTTAATTAATATAAATGAAAATATTGCACCGCTTGCGGAACCTATTTGCATAATTATGCCTGCTCTGAAGAGTATATTGGGAATCATTGTAGTTCTAAATACTGATATAATAATTAATTTTAAATAAGAAATAAATCCTATCAAGAGTGTCCATGATAAAATAACTAGGAAAATGCCAAATTTAGTTGCTTGTAAGGGAGGAGTTGGAGACATTAATGCTAAATATGTAACATAACTTCCAGTAAGTAAACATATTACAGATAAGTAATTAATAACTTTTACACTTGATACTTTTAACCAGAATGCTAACAAACACATAAATGGATTTGCAAATTGAGTAAAAGTGATTGATAATTTATATGCTATACTTCCATAAGGTAAGCAAGAGTAAGATTGTATGCTAGGAAAGAAACCGTTGCTTAAAAAGCAGAAAATAGCAAGCAATGTAAATAAATAATGTCGTGTTTGTTTAGTAAGATGCTTACCAGAATCCATCCAACAATGACTCACTTTTTGTATATCATTAGGATAATGATCACAACGAGAAATATTTGCCTGCTTTTTACTGAAGATTGTACTGTTAGTCCCACGAAGTTGTTTTGTGTTTCGAATTAAAGAATACTCTAAAATGGTGAAAGCAGTTAAAGATAGAAATAAAATAACAAAAATGGAAAGAAAATACACATCTGGGGAAAAATTTAGACCAAAAGAAGCTGAATATTCTACATCACTATTATTTTTATGAATTGTACATTCCGAAGTATCTCCAATTCCCTGTATTAAAGCAACTACACTTGGCAGTACACCACTTAATCCTTCTCCTATAAAATAGGATGTTAAACATTTTTCACTAAAATTGCGAAGGTATGGCATAAATAAAACAGAGCTGAAGCAACCTACTAAGGCACTGAAAAATGTTAAAATATATAATACTAAACTGTATTCATGACCAGCAATGACAATTTTTTCGGAATAAAAAAAACTTAAAAATCCCATTGCTGAAGTTCCTGATATCAACAAACATAATATCCACCAAGGTTCATTTATTTTGTAATGAAAATACTGCAAGATTGTATAAAATAAAGGACCAAAATTTGCAGAATGTGTCGCTAATACTAAGTACGCTGGTAATGTCCAACCTTCTGGAGAAGTATTGATAAGTACTGGTATTTGAACAAATATTCCATTGACACCAATCCAAGCAGAAATGCCAAATAATATTATAAGAAAATGCACAAAAACATCAGTTTTTCTGTAGCATAGTTTTGAAACTTGTGTAACATCTGTCATTTTGCCATTTATGTATGAAAAACCAAATTTTTATATATCTATATAATAATTAACAAAAGATTAATAATTTAGTAATATCAACATATAAATAATCTTTTCTAATCAATTAATATTCTCACCTAATTATTTTGTTGAATTTCCAAACGTTACAGTCGCAATAAATAATTTTCACTAAAAATCTCACTTTATGTTATGTATAATTTACAAAATTATTAAAAACAAAAAAAAGAAAAATATAATATTATTGATCAAGATTGTACAGTATTTGGTATAATCATGTCAAGAGAACTGATATGATGAAGTCGTGAGATGTCTCGTTTCAGTTCTTCCTTAATCCATGCAATAAAGTTTATCAGATAAAATAAGAAATTTGACTAATCATACCTGCTCCAATTGACTTAATGATAATTGGGTTTCCTATTAAGTATGTTTTAATATCCTAATCTATGAAATAAATCGTATAACATTGTAAAATTAAACATTATACATCTTTGTATAAACCAATGCTCTTTACAGTACTCATTGTGACATGTCTCTTCAATATCAAAGATATCCAGACAAATATACTATAATAAATATATTATAATTGCACATTTTAAATTTAGAATTTTTAAAATACATTCATCTATTTACATAATTTTCTTTAAATATGTAAAGCTGTTTTTTAAGTACATTCATGTCAGATACATTCAGATGAATCAAGCTCATAACTGGGACAAAAATGCACTTTAACTATTTATTAATCTTAAACCATTTGAATTGTTTGCTTCGAAGATTCATGGTTTTCTTCCTTGATACTTTCCAGTATGAGTAGATTTAATATACAAAATTCAACTTTGAAATTGCAATTGATCTGTCTAATATTAAAATTATAAAATCTAAAATAATCCCTATTTGTGTAAATCCAACCCCTAAATTTATGACATTTAAAATGATTAGACCTTGTATGATTAGACCATATATATAATTATAATGATAGACAGCAGAACTAAAACATATATTTCGTTCTTCTAATTAATAATTTTAATAATTTTCACTAAGAGAATTATTTGTATTAAACGTCAATGCACTGGAGTCATTGAACAAGGTGAATAAGAATGAAATAATTTTGCATGATTAACTAAAACAAATGTTGTTATTGCTCCTACCAATGATCCAATTTGAGTTGCAACACCAGTGTAATATAGACCCCTACCGGGATCAGGTCTAAATAATGTTGTGATACCCAATTTTATAAATCCTATTAAACCACTAATTAATATCCAAGATAGGACTACTAGAAATTCACCTACCCAACTGAATTGAAAAGGTGGTGTGGGAGATTCAAGAGCTAGAAAGCAAACAAAACTAGAAAGTACTATAACAATAACAGTGAGACCAGTGAGAAAATTCACTTTTGGCATTTTTATAATAAAACCCAGACACATTGCCAATGGACCAGCCATAGATGACAACGTAACAGTTAAATGATACGCAACATTTCCATATGGTAAACAAGAATAAGATTGAATACTTGGTAATGTACCATTACCTAGGAAGCAAACCAATGCCATCATAATTAATAAATATGAATACATTTGCTTAGACATTGTCCAACCAGCATTGGTCTTATAACTAGGAGGTGCTCTTGTATCCGTTGGCAACGTTTCCATGTTTGCTGGATGTTTCACACGTTCCCCAATGGCAATGGATAAATTGTTCAATCCTAAGAATGCTAAGTAACACAAGAATAACAAAGTACCGATAAAGATAAAAAAAGTCTGACTTGAAAATCTGGGTTCTGGATAGTACGGTGTGAGTTCTATGTGAGTAGAGTCTGCTGCAGTATTATTCAAGCATTCTGGATTTCCACCAACACCTTGGATTAATGCCACCAAACTTGGCACAAATCCGCTAAGTCCTTCTCCTACAAGATAGGACACTAAATAAATTTCTCTATAGTTCCTCATGTATGGCATGAAAAGAACCGAACTCGTACATCCGACAATTGCAGTTACAAACATCAATGACAATAGAGCGGTGGAATGCTCATTGTTAAATACTATGGTAGTTTTATCATATACGAAAGCTAATATAATTGTGGACAGTGCTCCTGTTGCTAAAAGGACATATGTAATATACTTATCACATGCCCATTTACTATATCTAAAACAAACAAAAGAAAAGAATGATACACGTATATTTAGAAACTTAGAATTTGTACATTATAAAGCGGAAACGTCATTTTCAATATACATACTTTATATACAATGTATATAGTATTGGTCCCAAGTTGGCAAATTGTACTAGCATAACCATATGTGCTGGAAGACTCCATCCTTCTGGAGCATTGTTTACAAGAAGTGGTAGTTGAACATATATACCATTTATACCAACCCATGCACCAAGACCAAACATCAATGCAAGCAGGTCTACTAATAACCTTCTGTTACTTAATCTTTGCCTCAACATGTTCTGTCTTTTGTCATTCATCAACAGAGGGTCTAAGTAGGTCAAATGACCTTGTTGATGAATTCTTTCCTTTTCTGCCGCCGTTTTGCAGTCTGTTTTATGATAAATAGCAAAACTATTTCACCGCTATGTACACACGACGGGTATGATATGAATAAAATTATTTTCCTTTTATATTTGATATAAATATATGTAACAAATCACTTTATGTTCAAAATAACCTCTAAAAGGGTCTTATTGAATACGATGTTTATTAAAACAATACATCAATTACTAGAAAAATCATTCATTCCGTATATTAGCAACACAATTATTCAAGTTTTGATGTTGAGATGAAGTATTCGTTGTAATCTGTTTCTTTACATAAATGTTTGACGTAAGTTTCACATCTGAAGACAGAATTTAAATAAAAGTCCTTAGAAATTAATATTAAGTAATAAATTTGCCACGTCGCAAAGTGTTAACACCGTTTCAAGACATTTTTCTTCTTTCTTCTTGTAGGGAATATAACCTTAAATCACAGATAAACGTTACAGTCACGACAGAGAGAACTGATTGAATCCACTAGGTTCGCTACATGCGCGTATATACACTATCTACATAGGTAGTAATTATTTTCAACGTTTATACGTTTACGCGTTGGAAAAAATTGTTGGCAAAAGATATGCAAATACAGTTGCGGTTGTCACATGACTATCGTCTTTAATGATTGATGGTCAACTATCGAACGAATCTGTTTCATAATCACAGTTTTACTACATATCATATAGATATCAACATATCGTTGAATATACATATACATATCTAAAAATGATATCAATTCTCATATTTCATTTGAACTATTCATATTTCATTTTGGATTTGATAATACGCATTAATAAAAAAACAATTGAAACTTTTGTGGTAGGAAGGAAGGGGATAGGTTATGACAACGGGATTTTCCTTAAGAAAATAGTCAAGTTCGTTCTTTAAATTGCGTTCCAGAAATTGCGCAATTCATTTGTCATTTCTCGTTTCAAATGAATTACTGTAATTATTTGGTATTTGCCATTTTATTGAATAAAAAATGTAACGAAGCATGAAGCATAGTTGAAATATTTCGATTAATCTTATATGTATGTATATATGTTTATAACTATATGACAGTATTGATGCCATTTAAAATTATTAAATCGAATTAAATCGAATGCCAGCAGGTGAAATATAATTGAACACAAGTTTTTTTTAAAGGAAGAAGGAAGTGAGTAAACTATGTACGCTTATGCATACGTGCAAGTGTGTGTGTCGCGTGTCCATAAATATGCATGGAATTCTAGCAAGATTATCTGTCGTAAAATGATGACTGAAATGTCAGACGGGGAGGTTAAACGAAATAAATACCACCATTGATTGAATATAGCAAGAACTTTATAAAAGACGAGGCAGACTCACAGATGGTTTAAGTACATTAGTATATGTCTCAAAACTCTGAGAAATATATATATGACGGTTTTGCATTCGTATTTTTTTTAAATTCTTTTTTTTCTCTTTTCTTTTTTCTCTCAAATAGATCACACGCATGAAAAAAGGTTGTTGCGTAAAGGTTGTTGTGTTTACATCGTGCATAAAAAGTACGAACATACATCAATCGAAAAAGAGTCGTAAGGGTAAAAGCTGAAAGGGGAAACGCTCGATTAGATCGTTCGATGAACTCCCTCGAGTCGTCGTGTTACGGATTATCGCCGAAAATTAACACACACATTACGTAAGTATACATGTACATACGTATTTATCTTTTTGTGCTTCTTTTTCCCGATTCATTTTTTCCGATCACAACGATCGAAAGTTATCATAAAAAAATATAAACGCACTTAACCGTCAGTTATTATCTTATTTCTTTAAACAAACGATTTTTTCCTCCCATTTTTTTTTAATCATAAGAGATAGACGACGAAACATGGCGCGAGCGCAGCCATGAACGTAACACGAAAGAGAGAGAGGGAGTTCCGTCATTAAGGAAAAACGTGATTCGTACATGCCCGTATCGGAGCAGCATCGAGAAAAAATACACATACACGTTGAAATTATTTCGAGTAACGAAGACTCGCTTCGCAGGCGATATCGTGGTTTCTGAACTAACAAGTGAAGCGGTGCTCACCGCGAAATTACACTAGAGGATTGATATTGTTTTATGGTATCATCGTCCGTCAGCGCGCCACGATGTTCTCACGTGGAACTCTAATAAAAAAGAACCAAGTCTCCGAAACAAATTCAATGGTGTATGATAGGATCGGCTTTCTGATGTTTCGACCGGAAATTTTAACGATATCGTCCATCATCATCATCATCATCATCATCATCATCATCATCATC